GCGCGCGTGTGTGTGTGTGTGTTTTTCCATTTCCCAGATGCAGCTGATCGAGTTCGCCCAGCGGCCGAGCGAGCGAGCGCTCCTCGGTCTCAGGTGAAGGAAGGCACGGAAAAGTATATTGGAGACAGAGTGGGGCTTTTAGGGGCGGCGGTCATACAGAAGTGGGGGGGCCATAAATCATTCCATTTTTAAAGCGATCCTGGGTAGGAGCCGCAATGCATGCCACGCTTTCTCTTAAAGAGGGGATGGACGGGGAGATGCAGGTAGGTTTGGGATGAGAATGATAGGTGCACCCGAGTTCGCTGCATCTGATATTGAACTGGCTGATTCCCAGTCAACCACCAGGCAAGATTATCAGGAACAAGAATATTTACCCCCGGTACCTCTGACAGTGTCGCCGGGGCCGAGGATGCAGCAGTTATTTACAAGTACGTGTTACAAACACTACCTCTCGATCACCCTTTCCCAGTTCAGTGTCCCAGACTCAGTGAAGCAGCACAACACGGGCTTTACACAATTTCCACGCCCGAGTAACACAGTTTAAAGTTTATTAGCCAAGGCATTTCAAACGCTAACATCTCAGACGCCAACTTGAAACCGAAGAAAGTTCATTGTGGCTGGACATTTCTGAGATGAAAAATAACCGGCGCAGGTTCTTTGGATAAATGCAGTTTTGGGCGTCACAAAGTGGCACACGCTGCAGAGAGCCTCCAGCCGAGGAGAGAAGGTGCCTTTTGCTGGGTACATAAATGGCTTTTAATAAAGCAGCCGCGTTTATCACTTAGAGATCCTGTAAAAGCTAGGGCTTGCAGGAGCTGGGAAGCAAACATTCATACCTACTCCAGTAGACCCACATTTTATAGGGATGCACATTTTTAAGGGACAAGTAGTTTTCCTCTGTCCCTCAGATGGAATCAGATCAAAGGTTGAATTGTGTGTTGTGAGGAGAGTATTTATGAGGTTCCTTGCTAGAACCCCGGGCTGGCTGACATTACCACCCTCTTCTGCGACACAGGGGAACACCTCTCCTTTCTAGGACATTTACAGTTTCAGCTTCAGGTTCATCAAACTGTGAAGAGATACAAAGTCTCCTCTTTGAATTGGAACAGTGATGCCAGTATGTCCCAGTTCATACTCTGTAGGAAACTTTTGGCACGGAATCCAAACATTAAGGAGAAGATGAGGAGGAGGAGGAGGA